CCCCCCAGGAGCCCGGTGGGCCCCCCCCAACCCCCCCCCCCCCAGTGGATTTGGGGAGGGGGCGTCCCCCCTCCCCTCCCTCCCCCCTGCCCCGGTCACAGCGGTCACTCCGGACTGACCCCAGCCGGGGGTCCCTCCTCTGCCCCACACCGGGGGTCACACTCAGGACCCCCGAACTCCTTTTTTGGGGTGGGGGCTCACCCCCGGCGGGACCCCAGACCCACCTTTTCCCCCCCACCCCGGCCTGGCCGGAGCCGGCCGAGCCCGGATTAACGGGGCCGTGCGTCACCATCCGGCCACTGGGGGGGCTCCGGGGGGGTCCCCTCCGGCCCCCTCCCACCCTCCCGGCCCAGCGGGGACCCCCGGGACCCCCGGGGTGAGCCCTGCCCCAGCCGGGACCCCCAAAACACCTGACCCCCCCCCAATTCCGGCAGCACTGAGGGAGGGGGGGGGGCTGTCCCCCTGCAGGGGCCCCGTGCCCCCCTCCGGGACCCCCATCTGGGGGGTTTGGGGTGGCAGGACCCCTCCCCATTGTCATTTTGGGGCTGGGACCCCCCCCTTGTTATTTTAGGGGTTGGACCCCCCCCATTGTTATTTTGGGTGTTGGACCCCTCCCCATTGTTGGTTTGGGGTGGCAGGACCCCTCCCCATTGTCATTTTGGGGCTGGGACCCCCCCATTGTTATTTTAGGGGTTGGACCCCCCCCATTGTTATTTTGGGGATTGGACCCCCCCCATTGTTATTTTGGGTGTTGGACCCCTCCCCATTGTTGGTTTGGGGTGGCAGGACCCCTCCCCATTGTTATTTTGGGGGTTGGACCCCCCCCCATTGTTGGTTTGGGGGTTGGACCCCTCCCCATTGTTGGTTTGGGGTGACAGGACCCCCCCCCCATTGTTGGTCTGGGGGTTTCACACCGTGTGGGACCCCCAAAAGGCCGGGAAGACCCCCAAATTCCCTCCTCGGATTTAAGGGGGGGACACCAAGGAGGGTGGGGGTCTGTGCCCCCTCCCCCACCTCCAGCAGCCCCCTTTGGGGGGGTTTGGGGGTCTCGGGACCCCCGTTTGCTCCCCACCCTCGGATTTGAGGGTGACCCTGGGGGTCTGTCCTTTGTCCCCAGAGACCCCCCCCCACAACAGGAGACCCCTGGAATGGGTGGGGGGGGCAGAGGGGGGGGTCCCCAAATCTCTTGGGGGGCTGAGGGGGGGTCCCTGAGTCCCTCGGGGGGCAGAAGGGGGGTCTGGGGGCTGAGGAGGGGTCCCCATTACCTCGGG